TATTTATTTGTATGGCAATTTTTGTCTTTTCTCAGGACCTGAAGGACAAGATGTTCTCCTGGTAGCAATCCCAGAGTTCAGCAGCACACAGACGGCCTGTCTTGTGAACCTGCGCACCTTGGAGTGCGAGCCAGTCTGCTTCTCCTCTTTTTCCACAGAGGAGGATGAGGACAATGAGATGAATATCAGCCATTAAACACTCACTTATCAACATGTGACACTTGTTCCTGTAGACTGTCCTACAAAGACTTGTTTCTGTTGTTGTGTTGTTTGTTAATAAAGCTCCCTTTTTTGTATGGAAACATTCTTTTCTTTTCCCTCATGTAGTATTATAAAGCATTTTGAAGGCTATATAACACTTGAACATCAGCAAAGGATTTGCACAACTCTGGTATTTCTTACAGAAGATTAATAGTGTGGCCTTTAAAATGTCAGTTTATCATCTGATTATTTAAAATAGCATCATCCTCAAAAGCATAAGAATTATTGCATAAAAATTAAGTCTAGGGCATTTTTGTCGCCATCTGCCGTTGGAAAAAAATGTAGTATTACCATAGACTGTAAAAAAAAAAAAAAAAAGATTCACGTTTATATTTTTTCTAAACACGTTAAAGCACCATATTGTGTATTTATCTGAAAAATAATTTTTCTTAATTCCATAAACTGTAAAAAAAAAAAAAAAAAAGTATTACGTTTATATTTTTTCTAAACACGTTAAAGCACCATATTGTGTATTTATCTGAAAAATAATTTTTCTAAAAAAAAAAAAAAGGACCGTTCAGAAGACGTCACTTCACGGTTTTGCTACGTCATTGTTCTGCGCCCTCGCCTGTCTGGCTTTCTTTCAATGAAACGTTCACCGCGTAACTAAACTTTTGGACATCATAAAGGTAAAGTATGCAGTCGCCTTAATTTATTCCTTAATCAAATTGCATGTATGATATCCTGTCCGTTATTTGCATACGAAAGCAGCAGTTTCAGATAGTGTGAGTTTACTCGTGGCTGGAAATAAAATCCAGGCCTGGTCCTCTCTCGTCCAACACGGTCGTCACTCCTCCTTTTATCGTTCCGGAGCTCCTCCGTGAGACTCGCTGAGTGCAACGATAGAGCTTGAAAGATCAAAGACAATATTTTTTTATATAACTCCGACTAGATTCGTTTGAAAGAAGAAAGTCATATGCACCTAGCATGCATTGGGAGTGAGTAAAACGCAGCCTAATTTTTGGGTGAACTAACCCTTTAAAGGTGGGGTGTGTATTTTTACAAAATCGTTTTAGAAAACTGAGTCAGGCCGAGTACCAAAACAAACTTGTAGCCAATCAGCAGTAAGGGGTGTGTCTACTCAAGATGTGGAGGAGAGAACGTTTAGTGCATAGGACGGACATTAGCTGAGCGTGACAGAAAGATAGAGATGGCGGATAAAAAACAAAAGAGGAAAACGTCTGCAGAACAAAAGAAGGCTTACGATAAGGCAAGTAGTAGGATCCGTGTAAATTTCGGATCAGCTTTTGTGCGCTGGAGAGAACTCAAAGAGAGGAAGGCCTGCGATCGGACGCCGAGGTTGCTTTGTTTCTTCTTGATATGTGAGTAACATTGGTTTTGCTTTCACTTATTGATGACATCATACTCTCGGCCGGCTGGCACAGCAGATTCCGCCATAATTGTTCCTTGGATTGTGTACGTATGTGTGGGGCGGAGCTATCAAAATAGGGGCGTGTTTGTTTTGGTGATTTGAAATATCAACATTGGCTACCAGAAATCACTTACCCCACCTTTAATGAAAACCCAGTCCAGAGCATTCAGAATCTCAGTCTGGGCAGAAGGTTCACCTTCCAACAGGACAAT